TTCTGCATGGTTAAACGGGAGCGAGCCTGTGAACGAGGCAAGATAATTATTCCCGTTAAACGCAGGTGAAGGAACTATCGTGAATTAGGAACACGCGACGAATATCCTACGAGGCGGCGTCGCGACGCTACCATTGCAGAACGCGATCCCGCGGTGTGAAATACTGCCGCGATGAGATCGACCTTACGCGGCGACCAAAAAGGTGAAATTACACACGTTACGGAATGCTTGGAGAATATCGTCTCGTTTCTTTACGCGACGCAGTTCGTCGACTATCCAGGGCATCACGTCGTATGAAAATCGTTCAATGCAAACGGTAGAAGATTAAAAATTAGTCGACCGAGAATCACACGTGCGAATGAAGATGTTAGAAACAATGAATTAATTTCTGTAATCATACGAGCCTCCCAATATTTATACGTTCGTTTAGCGTGTCTTTACTGCTTTCCATGCATCGTCGCTCTTAGTTGGAGATACATTTTGTCTGTGTGCGTGCGAAGTGGATTTGTAATCTCTCGAGCTACCCGTACGTACGTCCCACATAAGCAACAGAATTACAACGTTCATCGATCAATTCGATGGAAGCGTTTCGCGCATCGATGATCCACTCTGACTGGAACTACGGTATACCTCGCACGCACCCACACCCAACGCGGGGAATGACACACGCACGAGGGCACCGGCTACTGCATTATGCATTAGTCATGATTACAAAGTAAGTGGCGTGCTCGTGGCGCGTCTATGGTAATAACGGCGTATTTGCGGTGCTTATGATTTTCCAGTTGAAACGGGCATAACCCGGTTTAATAGCCGCGGCCCTCCCGGACAGTCGCGTGCATACGCTCACGGCCAGATTTACAACGCATCCGTGCATGCTCCATTTCGAACGCGGGACGTGCATTGATCGTGTTAAACGCTGCGTGACACTGATCCGTCTTTCTCCTTCCTACGCATAGTTTCTTTCGTTCTCCTCCCTTGTATTCCGCGTGTGCGCGAGACCGGCCTTTAAAGGTCGTTACGCTCGGTAATTATTGTCGCCCGACGCTCGATTAATGCAGGGGTGGTCCCTCCCAGTCATGCACAGCATTGCATTTCACTTCCCAACAGCAATAGTATTTCATCTCTCATATTCGATGCAGATAACATGATGATTCTATTACAAATACGAAGAGTCTTAAAAGATATTAAATCATTTAGAGACAAATATATCCCTAAAGTTTAAACACATTCAAGAAAGTTCCCAAAAATCAGTTCCCTAAATCTTGAGTGGTCACACTGGTATAGCCCCTTATGTCTCAGAAGTATGAACTACACTTTGAAATAAGTATCCTTATAATTTATTAATGACGCCTCATTAAATCGATGTGAAACATATTTTAGTGAAACTATAAATCATTCAAGTCATTTATCTTATGATCGTCCCATATTCTTATTTGCTCATTTATTCTATTCGCTTTTATTATCAAACGGATTTCATGTACGATTTAAAGAATTAGCATGTAATAATTTATTGATTAATCGATCGATATGACTGCTCGATGAAGTATTCACGATCTTACGTATCACTTCTTTGGATTAATGCGTGTACATAAATGAGTCATCTTTTTCGAGTTGCTTGAACTTTGGAGCTCGGTAAATGTTCTTGAACCTTGCCACTCGACGCATCCATCTTTCTCCGTTCGAAGAAAAAATATCCTTCGACCGACAGTCCCGATTCAAAAGTCACAGAAATCCCTTGTAACTAAACATATATATATAAATATATAAAAAAAGATTGCGTAATGGAGATGCAGGAGTGAAGATTGCGAATGCAAATGCGAATTGGGTGCGGTTCGAGCGTATAATGTATGCACGAGAATCGTGTTGAGTAATTTTTATGTATTCTACTATGGACTATCTCGATGTGCAGGCGTAATATGTTTCTGAGTTTATTTCCAACGCGAGAAGTCGATTCGTATGCGAGATAATGAAATTACACGAAAACCTGGCCATTCGTATTTCATTCATACTCTCGCGATTCGGAGTGTCTCTGTTTTTTATAGAACGTCTTAAAGTTTAAGGGTTCGATGCAATTTTACTAGTCGTCATTCTGATCTCTCGTCTATTGATTATTTTCTGGTTCTCACAATTCTCTAAATTTTCTTATGACGATAAAACGTTCATCAATCAATTGAACTTATTTATAAACATTGCAACGTGATTAGATAACGTACGCTCATGTCGTAATTCGGCAGAATTTTAATTATTACATTAGAACGATAGATAAATTTTCAATCAATACAGCCTTAAAAAATGTTTGTATACATTTGAGATTAAACCATCACGCTGATACTTGAAATGTGACATGCTGCGAAAGAGTAAAGAACACGTGCAACCGGCAGAAAGTGGTTGCATACTCAAACTCGGAGACAATGCTCAGCTCCGAGTGAGGAATATCGCGACGACGTGCTAACGCGAGCTAACAATGGCGTATCGTCGCACCTCGAACTCAGCTATGAAAACTCTGCTTGTTTGAACTCCGAGTGGTCAGTTTTTGCCAGAGGTTCTAGACACAAAACGCATAGAACTGTTAAGAGCAAACACTGTACCGGTCGTAATCCAACTGTCACAGATAGTCGCAGTACGAGATAATAATAAAATACTGTAAGTAGCTTATGAAAACCACGTTTAATAGAACCGTAATAGGAGATTGAAATTTGTAACTAGAAATTGAATGAACTTCGGCGTAAAAAATCTCGCACGTTCGTGTAACAAGAATCTGATCGAACATTATTTGTTATAAGTGAAACATTTTCGATGAGCCGCAGATGTTGTTGCGCGAAGCTCGTCATACAGTATTGAATGGACGTAAGCAATTTTCAAGTTATTTATAGCGGTAAATTATTTTCTACGAGATTACTCCGCGCGCTGGTAAACGACGAACGTATGAACGACGGCTCGGTGGTGATTTAGAAACGATTCACGCGCTGACTCGTAAGTTTTACTTACAGCACCGGCGAGCGTAACTACAAACAAATTTTTCACTCGTCCGCAAACAACCGCGCGAAATGTAGGAAACGATCGGCAAACAGCGTGTGTACGTACATGGTCCGGTGCCACTTTGGCTCGGTTCCGGAACGCGAGTTATGATATTTGTCGTACGTGACTCGGTCCTGCTACCGCGATCGTAAAACGTCGCTGTCCCATCGTATCTCCGCGGCGGTACGTGACGGAACGCGGTGGAAATTAGTGAAATTCGATTAGCTTTCCACGAGACGACCTTAAATCATCCGTTCCTTGGCCAACGTCACCGGAGAATCTGAACTCAGCGTCATTCGACGTGCCATTGGATCTCTCGTGGCATTTTTCCCCGTAATAATTTTTTATGCTGGCGTATAAAAATTAACGTGCGATTGAAAAATATCCGTGACAATCGTTTAACACTTTCCAACGGACAAGTCGAGGTCATTCGTTCTGGCTGATGAATATAAAAAATAAGGTTCCTCGTTAAAAGTGTATGTCCAATAGAATTCTGATGGGCAGTAAATACAGCGGTTGGTAACGATGAAGTCATTGGATAATGACTGTCATAGAAATGACTTTTACGGGCGATGCTCTCTCCTCCGAATACTCGTTCCATTCTTTTTATTCCCCCCTCGTTAGAACTTTACCATTTTCGAGGTACACCGTTCCTTGGAAGCTGTAAAACCGATTTAATGTGTATCTTCGCGCTTCATCGTAAACGATCCGCGGCAATTGAATGCCGCTTGATCTCGTTTTACAGCCCGAACGGTCGAGCGGATCGGAATTGGAAAGTTACATAATCGTGAAATTAGTTATTCTCCTCGGAAAAGAAAGAATCACGCGTAAACTGCATCGCGGCATGAAATCGACTGGACAGAATATTCTTTTGACATTAATAGCATAACGTACAGTCGCCGAAGCCCTTTGGCGGTGGCCAGCCTCTTCGATACCCGGCGGTAAATTAACGCGGGCAACAAATTCGTGAACGATCCAACACTTTTATACCCGGCGTGCATCGACGCGGTCGAGGGCCGGTGCGAGGCCGGCCGAGATCACCGGGATCTCGGATCGCGTGGTGCGATCACGAGAGATGTTATCGTCCAACAAATTCGGCCGTGTGCACGAGTTACAGCCGCTATAAAATTCCCGGTCGTTTAACGATGCCAAGAATTTATCGGATATTTTTGGTAGCTAATGCGGTCGATGACCTCTCCCCCTCGGCTTCCACCGTTCTTTTCGCCCCTATCCTGAAAACTCGCGTATTTCTCACACCCGTTGATCGGCCGCGAAGATAATGCTCGCTGGGACGGGTTCATTTATTGGGCGTAAATCTTTAGCCCCGCGCGTAATCGTTTCCTATACGATTTTATCCCTCTTAAACGTATTTCATCGAGATTCCTCGTGTCGAAAGACATCGTTTTCACGCCGCGACGCTAAGGAAGCTTTACGGCCCGGCTACCGCCTCGTTACGAAACCACCGTTCACCCTTTCGCGTTACATATTGAAACATTAATACAACGTTTCATATAATAATACCGTAAACACCGTATTGAATATTGTGCGAACATTGTACTACGATAATTAGTAATACAATTCACTATTACGTATCCGTGGTAGGGAAATGAAATACGTGCGATGGATTTATTAGCTGCCGCGGGAAAGTACGAGCCGCGAACGTAAGCAAAATAGTAGGCAACCCCGTGCTTTTGAAGTCGGGAAAGGGAGAGGAACGACGGTCGCGCTCCTCACATTTTATGGATTATCTGATCGGATGTTCGACTCTAGGGTACAGGCTGACGGGTTTAGAGGCTTCCTCGTTTACTTTACTCGCTGCTCTAGAAATTCGTCACTGTTGGCCAAACGAGCAGCGCAATAAAATTGCATGCTACGAAACATTCTCGTGACGCACAAATACACCTGCATTATACGGTTCAAGTCTGTACACGTGTGAGCATTTTCGAGCCATAACAGACGTTTCGTCGATTTTTACGTTACAGGTGAGGTATCGGGTGAAAACGTGTCCGCGAGCTCTGGACCACGTGGCGGCGATCGTGGAGAGGCGACTGACTTAGGCTCACACACGGAAAACAACGACGGGGCCACCCTGGCCGCGAACACAGCGGTCGACGCTAGGGGCGGAAGCCCCCAGGGTGCCCACCTGTCGGGTGCGGCCACCCCGAGGCCACCCAGAGGTCGAAGGCGGCAAAACCAGAATGGCCTCGACACCACTCAAGTGAGTCACTCGTCGTTTTAACTGCTCTTATTAAAAATACCTGTACACGTCGGTCCCTCGAGACCTTTATATCTGTTTTCGCACTTGTTCCTACAAAATTGACCTCAACCAGGAAAACGACTGAACAAAACTTTTACGCTTTGTCTATTTGCCTTCGGACAAACTACCGAAAGACCCATGCTTCGAGTATTTGAGCATAGCTGGAACGGGCTGAAGGAGGCCTCTCGTAAAAGTTTTACCAGTCTGTGTGTACACGTGTGCACGGGTCCCCTGGTGCTCTATGACAGCGACGTCAAGCAATTCCGCAGTGTCATGTCGCTGACATCCGTGGCCGTTCGACGCTTCTGTAAACGCCGTGCAGAGGCTGGAGAAAAAAAATAAATAAAGAGGGAGAGAAGGGGGAACGGACGGGTTCGGTGGCCGGAAAATATCGATGGTCATCGTTCGGAAAGAATGACCATTCAATGACACGTGGAAATCCCTCTGCTACTATCTTTCGTCGATTCGATGAAGATATCTGTAGAGGCCAATCAGGTCGACAGGATATCTTGTAAGACTTATCAGGATAGGACGAACGTTTCATTATTAATTAGTATAGAATTTTTATCGATGCACGTGGCACTGGATTAATGTTAAAAAAATATAATAGAAATATATAAATTTCGTTGAGACATCGAACGGTCGTTAATTTGTCGCGAGGCAAGTGGATCATCGGACGAGATCGTCACCTGGTTTCGCAAAAAGCTGAACGGGTGGATCGGCATACCTAGAGCCGTTCGAGGCGTGTAAACGTTCGACTCGTGTCTACGTCGAGCCTCGGCCCCTTGTCAGGAAGAGGTCTCGAGGCGAGAAAGAGATTTACCGTGGCCGCGGAACGGTCTCCTCTCGGACTCTCCTCCAGGACCCTATTCTACGCCAATCGAGTCTCGTTCTTCTTAGTGTCACGTCGCGTTCTCGCCGCCGAAGCGGAGTCAACTGTTACGCCACGCGTTGCCTTCATTACCATATCTCAGATGCAATCTGTTCCCGGGAATTAATGCCCGCTGATGTTTCCTACTCGGATCCTCCCCGAGTTGGCCAGCAATAACGTTCTCAGTGGCCAAGGTCGCGGCATAGACTCTCGGTTCTCGTTACTTCCGATAGTTTACTCTGAAAGTTCTCTGTCAACATTCGTATTTTTCACTTTTGCGATAATTTCAAAAGGTTGAATTTTCAAGAAGCATCTAAGAACGTGTGTCTCATATTTTTGTTAAAGGTTAAAACGGAACGTCTCACGCCAGACAATAATTCCACGTCTTCGAGGAGCGTGACGCCGTCGTCGTCGAGTCATCCGGGAACGCCGCCAAATGCTACACCCTTGGGTGGACCCGAGGGCCCGCCACCACCCCATCACCTCAAACACATGGAGCAGATGATGGGACGAAATTATAGTGATTTCATGAGAAGCCTTGCTGCCAAGTACAACAACGCCAACCCTAATGAGTGAGTAACCCCACCCCACTGCCCGATTAATATTATGCATGCATAAATTTTTTTCTGGATTTACGTTGAAATTATTATACATATACTTAAATTATCGAACGTCTGTCCTCTGAAAGAAACTAACTCGTGATCCCATTAATTACCAAGAGTCTCGTAATTAACTCGAATATATACAGTAGTACCGGTCGTCTCAGTTTTTGAAAGCAATCAACCGATGCAAGTGCGGCATACAAATAGCATCAGGTATTATTTAAAGAGCAGACCTTGAAAGTCACGACGCTTGCCTTGACATTCTTCACGCGATTCCCGGTTGTTCCGCGTGCACGGAGACATACAAATACGTGCATGTACGTACGTACGTACGTACGCGAGGTGCATTTACTTGGAGAAGTGAAAACGATGGAAATAGGCGACGGGGACAAAGCTGCGAGCTGACGCCAAGGGGGAAGAAAAATATTGATCGTCCTGTTACATGTCTTGAAATATTGATGCTCGTTCCGAGTGTCCGCCTCGGAATATTGTCGCCCGTAACCGGTTGCGGCTTAGCGAGCGTGTACGCATGGACTTTTAGCTCGGCTCGGCTTCCGGCAGTCGCACTACCACGGGTCGGGCCGTTGTGATCGAACGAGCGAAGATCCGCGTGACGAGGACGCCCCAGGCCCTTGCTCAGCTCACTTACCTCGCATCGGCTCCGCATGCAGAGGAGAAAGTGTCTTCTTCGTACCGATTAAATAAATATACGGGGTGTTAGGATCTAGTGAAGTTGCAAGGGTGAACTTAAATGGAATTAATAATGATCTTTAAATGAACATAGTAACATTTTATATAAAGATAAAACCGTGAAGATGAACGTGTACTTTAACCCTTTGAGTCAGACGAGGCAACTTTAAATAAAGTAATAAACTGTATGATTGTATGAGTAACATGAACTTTTTGAGGTGGATTAAAATATGTATATACTATGTATAAAAATTTGTAACCCATCTAACTTCAACAAAAATCCACGGTTATTATTAAATGACTTCTAATTTGGATTTACAGTTACTTCAGTTCGCCGAGAAACGGCTACCCCCCGGGTTTAGATCCGAGGTTTCCCGCGTTCAAAACAGCCGCCACCCCGTTCGTCGGATTGATGGCACCCTTGGGTGCGCCGCAGTCCTCCACCGTTCCGACCACCTCCCCCCTTTCTAATAAGGACTCCAAGGAGCAGAAACAGGAGAGCCTGTTCGGTAGCCCCGTCTTCCCACCGATGTTAGATATGTCGTCGACGCAGGCACTCTTGCACATGGTCAGGACTGCGAACGCGGCGCAGAACGCGGCTGAACTCGAAACGTATCTCAAAGGTAATTCTGATGTTTTCAATTTATTTATTAAGTAAATGTAACCTGTCAGCGAAATGAGTCGTCAACTCAACTTCTAGTTATTATCTATGCATCGTTTCATAAATTATATCGTGACTTGAATCAATGAATATCGAATTGCTATTTACTTCATTATTAATTACGACTCCTTAGTAAGAAAAAAAGTGTCGAATCAAGTTCACATACTATAGCGCGTAGATTCGATCCATCAAAGAAAGTTAAAAAAAATAGTATTTTTAATAATCGGTGAAACATGGATTTGTACAAGAGAATTGCGTTTGCCGATCAGGTGCGAACAAAAGAGATGCGGGGGTGACGAGTCCCCTGGATCTGTCGAGTCCAGGAGGTTTCGCACCTCGGAAACGGCCGAGGGCCGAGACCCGGAGACCCGGCAGCGTCTCCCCGAAACCTAAGCCGACCCCTCGACCCACCACGCCACCCCCGGTCAGGTGCCCGTCCTTGTGCGGCCACATGCCCTGCGGCGATGGACAAGCGGTCAACCGATGGACCATCGAGGACGTCGTCAATTACGTCTCGTCGATCGACATCTGTGCAGAGTACGCGCAGGTGAGTAATTCAAACTTTGCACTATTAATTCTCTCGAAGTTCTGTTTGCTTTCTCTGGTAGCAAACTTCGCGAACAGCGCGATTGCAACATTTAGTTACGGCGAACGAACGCGGCACATATTGTTTGTGAGTTTCGCAACAAGTGCCATGGGCGCTTGGTTCTCCACAGAAATTACAATATTTCATTTCATGGACAAACGCAGAGTCGTCAGATATCGTTGTACGGGTAGTTTTAATTATTTCTCGATTTCTCGAGGAACAATTTCGTCGCGTCAGCTTCGATTTACGAGACGTGAACAGAAATTGGCAAAAAGTCGCGGTAAGAATATACGCCGAGGCGAGACGCTAACACGATATCGGAACTAGAATATAAGTCGGGACGTGGCAGTTTTAATTGCTTTGGAAAGTCGTTGGCTTAATGAGGCGTATCGAGATATCCGTCGCGCAACATCGTTCGAAAGAGGCACTCGTCTCGGCTTCCACGTTGCCGAGCCGCGCGTCGGGTCGATGAGGCAACCGGAGTAGGCTTAGGAAGCTCCGAATGACCTGACATCAGTCAATCCGGACAGTCTGATGGCGTTCACTGGTTAGGAGAGCTCTGTAATGACCCCTCGAAGCTAGAAACGACCCTGCACCCCTCTCTCTGGGTTCCTTCGATGCTCCGCACTTTCTCCCCCTTTTCTCTCTCTCTCTCTCTCTCTCTCTCTCTCCATGTCTCTCTGTCTCTGTCTGCTTTTATCCCCGGGCGAAAATTCCTTAGCGAACGTGATGTTATTCGTAATCGTTTGCCGCCTTATTCGTTTTTATTATTGTCTTTTCACCTTTCGGGATTTCGACCTAACGGGAAAAGTCGCATTTTCTCGAAAGGTGCGCTCAGTTCATACGGTTGGATGATCGGAGAACGAAGTGAAAGGGTGAAGTCGAAGTTACAAAGACGAGAAGCTGTAGTTTTATACATGGAATTATTTATTCCCAAGAAAGCCTTAACGTTCCTCAGACGTTCGAGTACTTCCTCGTACGATCTCTGCTCTCGCGTTTTAATATTCATTCCATGAATCCACAAAGAAAACTTTGTTCTCTCGTTATTTCACTGTAACAAATTCTCCGCTGTCTCGGCCAGTCGAAATATCGTTTTTTTGCCAGTGCCCGATCTTAATCGCATAAGTGCGATATCCATCCGGGCCTCGCATCGTGCTCGATCATCGTCAGAGACACGATGGATTATTTTCTAATTAGCGCTCGAACCCGACGGTATAATTATGGATCTGAAAGCGGTACGAGGAATTAATCTTGGACAATTAAGCGTTACCAGCTCGTTAGCATGAGCCGGGTATATCCATTCTCGCGCCAGCGTATGATGTCACGAATTTGTTTCTTCGACTCTGCTTTCTCTGGACGAAGTTATTAACCCGTCACTGGAACCGTCAGATGTCGAGGATTCGTTCTGGCCATTCTAAATTATTCCTAACGATTTGCATTTTTTTCACGACCTTCCGTACACCGCGGGATTCACTGGTGAGTCGGTGAGACACTCGCGGTAGAGGTACAGTAACGAAGTCCGTTTCGACTACTTTTTCGTATGCTGATCCTTCAAATATCTCTTCATTCGTGCCACGAACGACTTCTTCTTGGCCCTGAAATTTTGTACACTTTTTCATCCTACCTAGATTCGTATCTTCTATAAAACACTCGTCTCTGAAATATGAAAGAACGTCGAGAGATGATAATCCATAAATGATACACCTACTACCATTCCGATAGATCGTCCAGCGCTCGGTTTTATTTTCAATAAAAACACGCGCGCGCGTTTTTCGACGTCGAAGCCGAAAACGTCGATACGCCTATTCAGAGAATCCTCGCCGCGTGTTTACCCAGCGCGCGCCCCGGCGCCCCTTCGATAACACGCTCGATATTCCAGCGAGGACGAGAAACCTCTCACGCGGCTCCTCCGTGACGTTCTGAAAACACGATTCGGCGTAACGTGGTTCCTCCGCGGGGACTGTCAGGCCCGATTAAACACATACCCACGGGCCTCGACTCTCGAGACGTCGGCCTGTCAGCTTCGTAAATTTTTGCGGGGGCACCCACGTCGTCATGCATATTCATGGGCGCTCGGCGAAAAAGGGCTTCGGGTATTTCGATCGGCCGTTCAGATTCGGAACGAGCAGAGAACCGTCGATGCGTCTGCGGTGTTTAGACTCCTTTAATGATTTAACACTTTTGCATCGTGCGGTTCTCTCGTCATAAGAACGACACGAAGTAGACTCGTTTAGCGTGGCGCAATGATACCAGGAAAGGTGGAATCCAGCTTTCTCACAAAATTTCCGAGCCGAGGCGGTGAATAAATCATCGCGGCCATCGAGCCGGTATAAAATTCCCGCGGCGAGGAACACAAAACCGCGTAGCGATAATCACCGCGAACATATCGAACCGGGCAATTTATCACATCATAAATCCGCGGTGAAAAAAGGGCGCATGATAGATCGCGGAGCAGTGTGTACGTATGTCGGTACGCGCGCGGCGGTTTAGTTCGTCGAAAATACGTAGGCAAAGTTCAGCCGGGTGATCGACGACGGAGGCGGGCACCTGGCTCTCGTGACGAATAGTCAGATAGCGGCGAGCACGAACGTACGATTTACAAGGATTCGCCAGTTCGTAAATAGCGAGCCGCGTCGCTGCTCGTCGCCGAGTTCAGATTATCTTATAAAAGGAGTACCGTGAGCGCTGGGTTCTGATCAACAGTGAGAGTAGATCGTTCGGTAGATCCGCGTGGAATTATAGCGTCGATCCTTATCTGGATCTGGAATAGCGGCGCGACCGTACGCTCACTTTCGTTCGAAACGGAACCGTGCGCCGCCGCCGCCGCCGCCGCCGTCGCTGCCGCGCTAACCGTACAACAAACTGAATCGTCGTGGAAATGTAAATAATTGCCGTCGAGGTTGCGTACGTAATTATCGCGGCACGTTTGGCACCGCGGATTTATGATCTTCCCCGATAGAGTAGGTGTACGTTCACGCGCTTTAATTGCTCGTTAATGATACTCGCTCCGAGCGTTTCAAATTAGTCGACCGTTCTATTCTTTCCTACCGAGACGATCACCAGAGGTCAGAAATTAAAAATTTTACTTCAATCGTCGTCCGTTAACGAATAACATAAACAGTGTCGGTGAAATATATGATAGCATTTAAACTATTGTCGTTCTTAATTTTTGACTCTATAAAAAGTAACGAGTATGACAATGATCGTGGGTGTTGATATGGCCATTTAGGTGGAAATCGAAGAAAAGAAGAGAGACGGTACGTTCTCGATAAGCGGACTAAATTTACGTTAACAAGGGACGTCGCGATATAAGAAACTCATAAGAAACCGAGAGGTGTTTTAAAGAGATGGTCACGTCGAAGCGCGTCCCGTGCGCGCGCGGTGACGCGCGTGAAGGCGAGAGAGACACTTGGTCCGGAGTCGTTAGAAAGTCATGAATGCGAATCGAATCGGTTCGTACGTCTCGCGTGATGTGGCACACGAGAAGATATCGTGTCTTCGCGTCCCACGCATCCTCCGGCTCGTGCAAACCCCGGCGTCGTTTTCGCTCGCGTTTTATCGGGCCTCGTGCTCGGCTTGTCGGCCATTCCACACCTTTGTTCTGATCGAATGGGCAAACTGCCAGGACTCTTTCCCCGGGGTGAAGTATGAACGTCGTCGTCGAGCCTCTTAAATGCATCGATCGTGCGAAGAAGATTGCGTCTTTCGAGAGAAGACTCTCCTCGACGCTCTCTCGGGTCAGTCGCCGTTTCAAGGGTTGATTCACTGTTATTCCCTGTTGCTTCTCCAAATTGAATCATAAATTCAAGATTATGTACTACTATGGAAACGCGAGTACATATATTAATTCCGCGAAACTATGATAACGCGTCTTGTGAATCTTCGCTTGCGATTGTTCCTCGTTTTAGACACTGAAAATTTCCCCACGCGATTCCGCTTTCGCCAGGAAAAAGCTTCTGGCGAACGGAGCTGCTTACGCGGTTCTATTTAAAGCGCGATTAAAATAAGGTAGAAAGCAGTAGCTACTCGTCCGGCATGCAAACCGTTCGTCGCCAAGCGGTTCTGCCTGAAAAATCGTCGAATCGTAAGAACGCATCTGGTGGTGCGTGATCACTGACCAGATCGTGGGTTCGATGAAAATATTTTCTGGCTCGCGTGAACCGTTGTAACGAGGAAGCAGATTCTTGATCGGCCGCCGATCTGGATTTTTGCGCGTCCCTCTCTCTCTCTCTCTCTCTCTCTCTCTCTCTCCATGGCGGAAGGATCATTCGCCACGCTCTGTCCGTGATCGACGCGCGTTTCACGGATGAATATTATCGCCTATTAATGATTAATTGACCGGCGTCGGACAGCCGAGGAGAGGTGCACCGCTTACGCGTTCGCCTTCTGCCTCGAGAACGAGAGGTCGACCCGGGTCACATCACGCTCCGCGCCGAATCGTTAGAAAGTCCGCTCCGAATGCCTGCGTTTAGCCTCTTCTTTCGTTTTTCCCTTCAGATGGATTTTCTTCGTCTCGCTCTTCTTATTTATCGTGAAAGGCTGATCCTTTATTCGGCTAATGTATCGAAGCTCTTCGACTTCGACACGTAGGACTTGACACCGAGAAGTCTCATAATAAAAATTTATTAACGTCAAAGGTCGACATATTCTCGTACTAAATTTTGTTTGTAATTACATCTTCGTCGCGGGCAGTCTTACGATTCAGGATGAGAGAAACGAAAATCGTTCACCTTCGAACGCGATTCTCTTTTGCCTTGGGACCATGTCGTATACACTTCTCCTCGCCATCGATAGCAGTCGGGTGCGCGAGAAGAGAGTCGTTCATCAGTTCGAAACGGTGGACGCCGGTCGTTGTTAGCGCTTCGAGATGAAAAGGGTTTCGCGTTTCCCGTTACGCTGTAAAGGAAAAGCCTCGCGCAATTGAAATTACAAATCAGGGTTTCGACGATCTTTTCGTCGAT